AAAACCCAAAACAAAAAAAAAAAAAAAAAAAAGACTCTATCCCTTCATGTTCTCTACCTCTGCTACCTCTGCTTACAGCAGCAATACTTTTACTCAGACTTCCTGTTTCTGGAACTTGCCTTCTTTTTTGCTGTGTTTATACTTCCCCCTGTCCGTGGTTAAATAAGTTTGAAAAGCTGTAGGTCTAAGCTTCTCTCTCTCTCCCCCTCCCTCCCTCCTTCCCTCCCTCCCTTCCTCTTCCTTTCATTCATTTCATACACACAGGCTCACACGTCTGCTCTCTCTCTCTTTTGTCTCTCTCAGAATGACAATTCTAGGTACAGCTTTTGGTATGATTTTTTATTTACTTCAAGTCGTTTCTGGAGAAAGTGGCTATGCACAGAATGGTGAGTCATCTCTAACTTTTCTTAAGGATTTTGGATTATCTCTATCATGTCTTCAGGTGACTCAGTTCCCTAGCAGATCTGAGTCTGGCACTGGGTTGGAATGGAGTTTGAGAACTTGCATGTATTCAGTCATTTTTAGTGTTCTAACCACCAGGAGGGGGGATGAGATCCATACTGTGAGTGGCTTATAAGGCCTCAGAATTACCAAGAAGGAATGCATTTGACTCTCAAAATGTGTATCTTAAACGTTGAATGATGCCTCTATTCTTACAAAAAGAACACTCATATAGATGCTGCAATTGTGCTTCTTGGAAAATCTCCAAGGTAATTTTACCTTGTCAGGAAATCCAGCTGGATTCATTTTGTATGGCTTTTAAGGTGTTCCAAAAATATAAATTTCAGGATAAAATAATGTCCAGAAACAATAGCTTTGTCTGCATCGACCAGTGCTATATCCTGAGTGATAAATCAGTAACTAGAATATAGTAGGCATTCAATAAATATTTGAAAATGTCTTCAAAATACTTTAGTTGTGATAGATTCATGTGAGACTTAGTAAATAACTGAACAGAGAAGAATCTGAATGAGTTGTCTCATTGAAATATATTTAATTATTGCCTCCTCATCAATAAATTTACTGTATTTAACAATTGTCTTTGGGTTCCTTAAAATACTTAGTACCTAAAAGCAGATCCTACCTTAGTTCATACATTGTAATTACAATAAAACTGGGCAGGGCAGGGACCAAGTGGGAACTTAGACCACCAATTTGTTCCTGCAAATGAAGCCCTTTCGCTTTAAGAGTTAAAATATATCTGCCGGTAGACAAAATCAAACACATCAGCCCAGTGATACAACTTAGATATTTTGAGTCATGTAATTACTAAGGATGGAAATCCCTAGAATTTTCTCATTAAGGGAATTGTCAGAGGGTTGACATTTTTCCACAGTGTGACCATGTATGAATCATTTTGCGGGGGATGATCATTATCCTAATACTAAATATCTTGGGTTTGCACAAAGACAGATGCATGGCAGGAAACACATAAATGTTACTCTCTTTCAGTCTAACATATTCTAGCTATTCCTCCTTAGTGATCATACATTAAATAAAAAAAAAAAGAATTCTAATCGAAAGCTGGATTTTCACTTCAACTTTTTTAATTTGAGATTTTTTTAAAAAAAAGATCTATAACCATTCATCTACATGATTACATCAAAGTACTTCCCGGTTTGGGGCATAGAGAATTTATAATCAGCAGCTGTTTGTTGAAAGATAAGTTAGTTCTCTGATAACTGCAAAGATGATCAAGAGAAGAAAGGGATGCTTGAAAAAATCCAAATGATTTAAACTTCAGTCAACTAATTTCATTAAGTAGAAAGAAGACTTCTAAACCACACTGGCTTGCCTATAATACATATCCCCCAAAATTTACATTTTTACTAATAAATGTGCTTAGATACCTATATTAGTATTAATAATATTAATTATTGAGTATTTAAAGAATAACAGATTAACTCACTGCTCAAAAGCTCTATGTAATTTCAAAGTGTTAGTGATAATAACATCTTCAATTAACATGGAATTCATTTTTAAAAGAATCTCAAATGTTTCATATACATTTCAAGAACTAAAATTCTTACTTTACCTTTTCAGTACTTATTACAGAAAAGGTAATAGTCATAGCTAACCCTTACTGAGTGCTTACTGTGTTCAAAGCCAAGTCTTAGTGTATATCCATTCAATGAGTCCTCATAACAGGAGTTTACATATTAAAACACTAAGTCTTTGAGAGGTTGAGTACTTACCAGAGGGCCGCAGCTACAAGGTAGCGTAGCCAGGATTTAAAACCACATCTGTCCAGCTCTGACACCACATGCCTTAACCCGTTGTGTACATTACTCTTAGCTAGGAATTTTTCAGCTCACATTAAGTAGTGCATTCTTTTTGTAAAATGCCTTGCAATTTTATAAATCATTGAAGGGACTTTTTCTTGGTTACAAAGTAAATCTGCCTAGAAATACCTGCTAAAGAGTCAATGAGCTGCTTCTTAAAACACAGCCATTTCAATGCAGAAAAAATTGTAAATGGTGCTCTGTATGTTGTCTGCTTTGCCAGACAGAATGGCTAAGGTCAGTGGGAGCCCTTTGTTCTGCTGGTGCTGGCATCTGCTAGAGTGTGCTCTATCTGGTTTACATTGTATATCGAAGAATTGTGGAGTAAATCTGCCCCTACTGGATGTCTGAATCGAGATAATAATGTATGTTCTGTGTATGGAATTAATGGAAAGTACAAAGAAGGTAATAGATTAAGACAGTGTGAAGACTGCCATGTAAAGCCAGAACCATTTCATTTAGGTGCCAGCTCTTAGGGAAGAAAGCAAAGTCTATAAAGTTAGGCATGAGCATGTTTTAAAATGTGAACTCTAAGTGGTGGGCTGTCACTCATTGTTTAACATACCATACCTACTGAAATTAGGAGCCTTTGCTGGTGGCAGAACTGTGAAATGGATGGAATCTGGGAACAGAAAGGCAAATGCTAGTGACTGTGAGCAGTGCTCACAGCTCTCATCTAGCCGGGGCTGTTTGAGATCATTGCTTTAACTGAACCAACCTGTCACTCAACGGTTGGTTCATTCACAAGTAGCTTTACTAACTTTCCCACCAGCCTACTGAGTTATTTAAGCAGAGTGTCTGGGACACTCAACAGGGGTTTGAGTTTTAGTATGCTGTATCTAATTTAAAACCTTAGAAGCATCTTATTTCTAATATCAATGAACCAAAATATCTGGAAGCAGTCATAAATTCACACTTGACCACTCTGAGAATGACTTTGGTTACTCTGGATTTTCTCAGGTCATGGTTGGAGTATATTTGCTTACAGACTTTTGCAGTCTCACTTTTCTATTAAATATGGTAAAAACATACACAAATTGTTTATTTAATCATAGAGTCTTACAACCTGGCTTAAGACATCAAATTACTATCTGTGATAGATTGTACTCTCCAAAAGTGGTGGGAAAAGACAAAAAAAAGTCTAACTCTCCACTTTCTTCCAGAATCTAGTGAGTATCTATAAGTACTGTATTTATAGAAGAATAATCTATAGGAACAGAAGCAGTATGTGTAACACTCACTGGAAGGTCCACCAAATCTGAGTTCTATCAGATCTAATTTGTTTCTAACCATGTTTGCCTTAGTCAGTAATTTATGTCAAATTGCCTTAAATCGTTACACCATGGAGATAGTCAATAATACTTTCAAATGGAATGTCTTTTTAGGCAAGGGAAAGTGACCACTTAAACAAGTGAAATTCTGACTATAAGATAGCTGTCATCTTCCTTCATTTAAAAAAAAAAAACTTGAGATGCAGTAAATGAAGATTAAAAATTAAGTCAAAAATGAGATTAGGTAGCATGTGAATAATTGAAATAAAGTACCTCCTATTTGAAATATATAAACATTTTAATGCAACAAATGTAGCAGAAGAAATTTCAGTTTAAATAATGGAAAGAGTCATTTCTGCCTCTTTCTTGTCCTCTTAGTGCAGAAATATTTGGAGATTACTTATTAATTGTGATAAATATGTTTTTCTATCCAAAAATTCTGTAAGCATTGTTTTTGTTTTGTTTTGCCATTTTTGTTTGTCTTGAAGCACTTTTCTTGTCTTTGCCCTTGGGTTTCCCATTTTTAGATAAAATATAATTGCTCCTTCATGCCTGTCACAAAACTCTGTCAGTTTATTAATGTCAAGTCGGCTTTTAAAAGCATGCATTCATTCGCTTCACTAACAGCAGCGTATTTGTCCCCCCTCAGGAGACTTGGAAGATGCGGAGTCAGATGACTACTCATTCTCATGCTATAGTCAGTTGGAAGTGAGTGGATCCGAGCACTCACTGACCTGTGCTTTAAATGACCCGGAAGTCAACACCACCAATGTGCAACTTGAAATATGGTGAGGAATGGTGATTTCAATAGGCACTTAGAAATCCTGTGTCTCTCTTTTCTTGTGATCTCTTCAATAGCTGCAAAGGAAAGAGTGTATGACCTGATTAACAAACGTTAAAGCCTCATGAATTCCTCAAAACCTCCTGAAATTCCTTGTCCTTCACCAACAGACTGAAGCAAAGCAACTCTAAGAGTTCCTGTTTCAGATCCTGAGGCTACAGCCAAAGATACAGAGATTTGTGCCCAACATGAGACAATCTAGTGTCTTCAAATCACATTTGGGAGAGACGTTGCCTAGTTTCTCGTCCTAAGGCCAGCACTTACCACCCTTGTGACATGGAGCAAGTAATGTAACTTATGTCCCAGTTTCCTTACCTGTAAAATGAGATAACCCATCTCATAGAAAGGTTGTGATGATTAGTTTCCTATATGTAAAACCCTCAGAATAGCCAGTGTATAATGAGTAGTGAAGAGGCATTAAAGCATAATTCTATGAATATAGACCTAACGATCATTCTCTTAATAGAGTTTGATTTTAGATGATCCTCTCAATGTAAATTTTCAAAAAAAGTCACAGGAATATGTTGCTACTTAGTTTCACAAGGCCTCAGAAAAAAAGGCAAAGAAAACGCGTCTCAGGTTTGAAAGTTTAATAAAGAGCTCATAGAGCTGTATCTTCTTTCTCCTCAAGTCATCTCTTGTTACCAAATGTCACTATCTCTGGTGACTCGAAAAACATACTTGAATTTGAAATTCTGACTTGTGGCTACCTCCAAATTCATATCAGATGACCTAATTTTTACTTAGTTTCCTATTGAGGAAAGTAAGTCAAGATCCACCAATAATAAGAGAAGGCTTTCTAACTTCCATAAACACTGAGACAATCCCCCACAGTATATAGTCCAAGTGAGCTCTAAATTCCATCTTACATTAATTTGTGGGAGTTTCCTGCATCTATTCATGCAGTGCTTTCTGCTACAGTCACTGGATAAATATGGCCTTGGACTTAAATACCATAGTGTCTTCTCAGTCTGTCTCTGTTAGTTCACTTCTCTAGCACATTTTCCAGAAATAAAATATGGAAAGAACAGGAACCTGCAATGGCCAGAATCTAGGCTGCAACAGGACTACACTACAATGACCAAACAATTCATTCAAACAATGCAGCCATTTTTATGGTAAAACGCCCGCCTGCATAGAGGTTTGACTTGGGGTTCTTCAACCAGCTGGCTGGTGAACAGGCATGTTCATTGTGGTTTCTCTTGGCCAAGCCAAGGCTAACCACTCTGTCCACTTTTATTCACATGGTATCTGACCACTTCCTTGCCTACTTGAATACACTTGTCCTTTAACATGTCTCTTGATTTTTAATCTGTCCAAAACCTCCATTTGGGTTTTCCAATTGGATCCAGATATTTCAGTTGGAAAGAGATGGTCATAAGATCTGTTTTCAGTGTGAAACAGTATTACTCTTTAATAGACTAAGGTACTTCTAGAGAGAAGCTGTTTTCAAAGAGGTAACTATACCTTGAGGGGAGATACATGCATTTCTGAGGTTCAGAACAGGCAAAGCAACTTAAATTAACTCAGTTCAACAGAGTTACAAATTTTCTAGTTAGATTTTTTTCCCCCACAATGGAACTAGTTTCATTGGAGTGGGGCTTTTTGTTAAGATAAATGTATAAAGAAAAATATTTGGAGCATACTAAAAATGGTGCATGCTGATTAAGTCATTACACAAATGAGGTTGTTCATAGACACCAGGTGCCATCTCTCAGAAGGTGATGAACTTACCGTCTGGTTACCAGTGTCCCAGGACTAGAAACTAATTTAGTTAATGTTCAATGAGCTGATCTCAGGGATGGACTCGAATTAACCAAACTCACAGAATTGTATTACCAACATGCCAATTGACTACTTTTCATTAACAGACACAAATATTATAGAGAGCCAAATATTCACACTGGGCTCAGGACATACAGGAGTTGATATTGAGGGGGGAAGGGGATTAGAAGGAATAGTAGGTTGCACATTAATATAAATTCACTTTACTGGGAGACCTAAAAGTTTTCATTTATAGAACTTCAGCCAGGTCTCAGGGGCCTTAAGGGACAAAGCAGAGGCTCTGGAAACAGTCACCTGGGTTGGAATCCTAATAGTAACACTTAACTAAGTCTGTGACCTGGGGAGTTATTTAAGTTCTCTGGTCATAACAAATGTCTTGCATTAGGGTAGAAGGGATGAGTGTCTGGCATATGGTGTGTGTCAGTAAGTGTACTTAACTATCTCAGCGTGACCCAATTTTCAAGAAAAATATGATTAAAAGATTATTCCACAAATATAGAAGCAAAACAAAGGAACTTTGTTTGTTGATGTTAAGACTAGGATTATTTGGTTTAGATCTTTATGTGGTTCATTTTTTTAAACTAATTGCCGGTAATTAAAAATCTGGGTATCTCTTTAAAAATCAGATCTGATAACACTGGATGCTTATAGTAAAAAGCAGCTGGAACAGAATTTTGGCTTCTTCTTACAGATGGGAAATTAAATCTCAGTCCTGAAGTTTGAAAACTTCTCTCATTTATATTACCTGCATAGAACCCATAGATATTTTAATTTACTACACTGCTTTTTAAGTGTTTGCACCATTTTTTAGTCAGCTCTCAGAAAATGATTACATTTCCTTTACTTCCACATTCTTGGAGGAAACTTAATCACTCCCATAAACCGCCTACAGATACTACTTCAAATATGTTATTTTTTGTTTTCATCAATTACTGCAACCATCACAATCTGCACCAGGATATTCTAGGCTTACCTAGCAATATCTGTCCAGTGTTATTAATTTAGTCCTTTCTACAGTAAACCCTAACTCTCAAAATAGTTCAATATTTTTTAGCTAGATTCTGTCTTTCAGGACCAATTGAGGGATTAAAGCAATAGTTGGGTCTTTTAAATTTTGTTTTGTTTTTCAATATTTACACATAAATATCTGTTTATACCAGTAAGAGAAATGCATTTATTATGCTAGACTTTATAAGATTGGAGTCAGTTTAGGAAGGTGAAAGTGGGGTTAAGAATCTGGTTTAACTTACACTTATAAGTGAGAACATGTGGTATTTGGTTTTCTGTTTCTGCATTTATTTGCTTAGAGTACTGTAATGGCCTCCAGCTGCATCCATGTTGCTGCAAAAGACATGATTTTGTCCTTGTTAAAGGAGAGTTGAGAAGGGGTTGAAAAACTACCTATTGGATACCATGCTCACTATTTGGGTGATGGGTTCAACAGAAGCCCAAACTTCAGCCATCCATCACGCAATATCCCCATGTAACAAACCTGTGCATGTACCCTTGAATCTAAATAAAGAATAAAATAAAATAAATAAATTTTGTTTAAGAAGAATCAAGGTCCTCAGCAGTGTCTCCCTATTATCAGAACCAGGAGATTTATGTGAGCAGCTTAGGGTTGATATCCCCTCGGAGTGTTCCACAGGATCAAATTCACTAGCCTGTGATACCACTTGGATACTTGCATTGCTCTTTCCTTCCTCTAAAAACCCCTGGAATAACTCTGTCCAACAGAAATACAATGTACTCCTGAAATGTGTATGCCATCTAGGTAATTTTAAATTTGCTAGTAGCCGCATTTTTAAAAGAGGAAAAAGAAATAGGTAAAATTAATTTTAACAGTATATTTTATTTAATCTAGTATATCCAAAATATGATCATTTAAACATGTAATCAATATGAACAAAATATTAATGAGATAGCTTACATTCTTTTTTCATATGACATCTTCAAATCTACTGTGTTTTATACTTAGATCACATCTCAGTTTAGACAATCCACATTTCAAGTGTTCAATAACCATACATGGGTTAGCGGCTATTGTGTTGGGCAGTGTAACTCTAGAATATTCCTAACCATAGCTATACATACTTAGCAACCAAGTACATTGTTTTAATTGAATTGAATGAAATGGCTTGAATTGAGTTGGACTACTCACTGGGGACACCAAATTTTCTCCAGTACCTGAAACTGGGGTCAGTACCCAAATGAAGGCTGCCTGTTCTAATCCATGGGATTTATCTCGGTCTCCCACCATGGCCTCCACCACGTGAAGCAGATTCTGGAATGCAGAGCCCTTAAAAGGAAGTCTGGACTCACAAGATAGCTGTAGTGTGATTTTGATTATTCATTGCTTATTAATCTCATCCCAAAAGCATGGGAATGAGCTGAGAATACCATTTTAGATCCTTCTTAAACTCCCATCAGCAACAGAAACCTGCTAATGGTTTAATATAATTGGATATTCTACATATGCTTTCCTTACAAATATAGTCTAAATTTAAGGATTGAACTAAAAGTTATTGTCTTCTAGTTTCTCTACATCACGTTTACCTAAAAATTCAGAAATGAGACCCTGCCCCCAGTTCTCCTTTTATTCAGCAATTCATGACAACGTCACCATTTTCAGACTTTTCCTTCTGATTTTCATCCCAAGCTTGTTTTCTGGTATCATCTAGCATACCTTATTATTTGGTTTTTATTTTTACTCTGTTCCAAGTGGGGAAATCCTTCTACCTCAACAAGAGGCATAACCCTCTTGAAACTCTCATTCTCTCTCTCTCTCTCTCTCTCTCTCTCTCTCTCTCTCTCCCCCCTACCTCTTCTTCTTTCTCCTGCTGTACTTCAAAGCACAAACAACTGCATACCCTTAAAGATAGCAGTTAACAAAAGTTATATTTGGTAGGCACAATTTTAAGGAATGTCCCACAAATAATCAATATATTCAGTCAACTGAGATTTCTTCATCAGTCTCTAGTTTTCATAACTGTAGAAGCTTATCCAGTCACTCAGAGACTACAGTAGTCCAAAGATGAAAGATTCTGCATCTAAAGCTAGAGTGGCCTCCTCAGCTTTAACTCCATGGTCAGCTCACCTGAAGTCACACAGACATGTTCCTCTTTCTGTACAGGGTCCAGGAACTATCCTGGAAAAGATTCATCTGAGCACATGCAGAGAAGAATGTACACACATCCAGTTCATCAAAGAAAATCAACACACATTGTGAGTTATAGATAGTAAAGGCCCTTCCTAGAACGTACTCCATAAGATTTAAACTAAAATGTATATCTGGTTACTAAAAAGAATTATTTCATGTAAGCCCATTTACACAGAGGCACTTTTTTCCTGCCTAAATATCCACTTCCAGTTTGACCCAGTTATACCTCTTTTCAGAACTATATGTTTGGTTTTTTTAAAATTTTATTGTAAAGATGTGGGGTACAATTCAGGGTTAGGTTTACAAATGTTCATAATTCAGGTGCCCTTATTGATGAAGTGTGCCCCTCCCTCCCCTTTCTGGCTGGGTTTAAAGAGTACATAGGAAAAACAAACTGGTAATGGGTTATCACAGGAGAGGGAAATTAAAGTGAGGGTTGCAGGAAAAGGGAAACCCATGATTTTACGTTTAATTCTGCCTTTTAAAATTACTCTACAATGAGAGTATATGTCTCCGTGACTTCTTTAATTTTTATTAGTTATTTAATTCTGCTTACACTCCCTTTTGGTAACTGTTTGCTTTAGGGGTAAAATTTCCACATAGTAAAATGCACACATCTTAAGTAAGTTTTGAGAAATGTCTATGACTTGTAGCCACCCTTGTCATTCAAGATGTGTAACTTTTTTTTTCTATCCCGGTAGGATGCTTCATGTTCTCCTTCAGTCAATTTTCACATCCCAGAAGCAATCACAGCTCTGAATTCTACCACTTTTTGGTTGTGCCAGTTTCTGATAGTTATTCTAAATGGAATACTCTGTTTATTCTTTCCTGACTTCTTTGATTCAACACAATGTTTGTGAGATTTAGCCATGTTGATGCATGTCTTACCACTCATCTTTTCAACTGCTGAGTAGTAATTCCGCTGTACGAATATACCACACTTATTTATTTATTTATTTATGTATTTATTCATTCATTCATTTATTCAGAGTCTCACTCTGTCGCTTAGGCTGGAGTGCACCAGCATACTCATGGTCACTGCCGCGTCAACCTGTTGGGTTCAGGTGATCCTTCTACCTCAGCCTCCCGAGTAGCTAGAACTACAGGTGTGTGCCACCACACCCGACTAATATTTTGATTTGTTGTAGAGATGAGGGCTCATCAAATTACCTAGGCTGGTCTAAAATCCCTGGGCTCAGGCAATCCTCTCGTCTCAGCCTCCCAAAGGCATGAGCCACAGCGCCCGGCTAATATATCACAAATTTTTCCAGGCATGAGTCACCACGCCTGGCAAATATACCACAAATTTTTAATCCTGTATTTTTTTAATGGACATTTGTATTTTTTCACGTTAAAAACTATCACAGTTGAAAGTTGCTATTAACAAAATTGTACAGATCAGTTTGTGAATATATAGTTTAATTTCTCTGGGGGAAAAATATCAGAATGAAATTGCTGTGTCATAAGGTAGGTGTATATTTACACTTATAAAAAACTGCCCAACAGTTTCCCAAAGTGGCTGTATCATTCTGCTCTCCTCCCAGCTCTGTATGAAAGCTACACATCACTTCTAACATTAGGGTCTGGGATAGTATCTCATTGTGATTTTAATTTTCATTTCTGAAATAACAAATGTTGAACACCTTGTCATATACTTGGCTATTCATATGTCTTCTTTGGGCAAGTATCTGCTAAAATCACTGAGCTATTTTTCCTTTTATTATTGATAGATGTGAGTTCTTTAAATATTCTGGGTACAAGTCCTTTATTAGGTATATGTATTGCAACTATTGTTTTGTCAGTCTAAAGCTTGCCATTTCATTGTCTTAATGTTATATTTTATTAAGTGATAGGTTTCTTTTATTTTGATGAAGTCCGATATATTACATATATTTTTTCTTTTATATTTAGTGCTTTTTGTGTCCTTACTAAGACATTTTTGCCTGTTACCAAAGTGGGGGAAATATTTTTCTGTTTTCTTCCAAATAGTTAATAGTTTTGACTTTTATATGTAGGTCTATAATCCATACACAATTAACCCATATATAGCAGTGTGGGATCAAGGTTCATATTTTCCATACATTAACTCAGCTGTTTCACAGAAATTTTCTAAAAAGACTTTCTATGCCACCATTGAGCTACTGGGTGCCTGAATTTAAAATCAATTAACCTTATATGTATGAGTCTATTTCTAAACTCTCTATTATTTCTATTGATCAATTTATTATCCTTATGCACTACTAAATTGTTTTGATTATCATAGCTTTATAGTAAGTTTAAAATTAGGTTCTCCAAGTTTTCCATATTTGTTCTACTTTTTTCATTGTTATTTTGGCTATTCTGATTTCCTTGTATTTCCACATAAATTTTAGAATTAGCTTGTCAATTTAAAAAAAAATTCTGCTGAGATTTCGAATATTATATAGGCTAATTTGGAAAAAAGTACGTGTTATAAATATTGAATTAGCTCACCCACGAACATTTATTTACTTATATTTCCTTTAATACATCTCAACAATGTTTTATAATTTCTAGTGCAAAGACTTTGGACATCTTTTATCAATTTTATTTTTATTATTTTATGTTTTTGTTGCTATCATAAATGGAGCTGTCATTTTGACATTTTTTTCCAATTGTTTAATGCTAGTCTATAGACATATTACTGACTTATATATAATGGCCTTGATAATTTATTTTATTAGTTTCTATAATTGTATTGGAGATTTTAAAAATCCTTTTCCATGTGAACAAACATGTTGGCAAATACAAGAAGCATTTTTTTTTCCCATTCCAATCTGGATGGCTTTTGTTGCTCTTATCTTCTGTATTAGTTAGAACTTCCTGTATATTGTTAAATAAAAAGGGCAAAAGTGGACATTCTTCTCTTGTCTTGAACTTAGAGAAATAATTATTGCTTACAACCTCATCATTATACATGATATTAACTACAGGCTTTTTGCAAATGCCCTTCAACAGACTGAGGAAGCATCCTTCTATATTTTATCTGCTGAGAGTTTTTATCATGAAAGAAAACTGAATTCTGTCAAATGCTTTTGCAGTATCAATTGATAATGACAACATTATTTATGTCCTTTGTTCTGTTGATGTGGCAAATTATATTGATTGATCATTGAATGTTTAAGCTACTTTAGTTTCCTGGGATAACCCTTATTTTGTCATAATGCATTAAAATAAATGTGTTAATCTTTTCTTGAGGAACTTTGCACTCTTAGGAGATATTTTTCTGAAAAATTCTTTTCTGTAATATTTTTGCCAGATTTTTGTTACCAGTATTAAGCTAGCTTCAAAAATAGGTTGGAAAGGATCAATTGCTCCTCTATTTTCAAAAGTAACTTAAGTAAGATTAGCAGGGGTTTTTAAAATACCTTTGCTAGAATTCACCAGCATGTAATCATCAGTCATGGAGTTTCCTTGTGGGGAGGTTTATTGATAATAATTGTAATTTCCTTTAAAGAAATAGAACTATTGAGGTATTTAGTTTCTATGTGAGTCAGTTTTAATGGCTTATGCTTATAAAAAATTTAAATACATCTAAGTTATTATCTGCATTAGAAAAAAGTTTCAATTTTTTTATTATGCTTTTAAAATCTTCATGATCTATAGTGATAACCACTCTTACATTCTATATATTGGTAATTTATATTTTTGCTTTCTTTTTTTAACCAGTCTTGTTAGAATTTACCAAACAAAATTATTCATGAAAATCCCTTATATTACCCATTAGGTATATATGGTGCTATGCATATAACTCTTTAGACTATTTTATTATTTTCCTTAACTCTTTTTTAAGCAATGTCTCTTTATAGCTTTTATTTATAATTTCTCCCATTTATTCTGCAGAACATAAGAAGTAAATAACTCTTTATCTAAATAATTTTTCAATGATCAATTATTAAAAATATAGAAATTTTTCTCAGTTTTTAATAAGCATGCTTTATTAAATGTTCAATTGCTATTTCATGTCCAGTTGCTTCTGATGCCAAGTAAATCATCAGTGAGTATAATGGCAGCAGAAAGCCATAATATTTTTTTATTTTTAAAAATTGAGACGAGGTCTTGCCAAGTTGCCCAGGTGAATCTCAAACCCACGGGCTCAGCCAATCCATTCGCCTTGGCCTCCCAAAGTGCTGGGATTACAGGCTGAGCCACCAAGCACAGCCGAAAGTCATATAATTTTAATTCATTCTCTCTCTCTCAAACATTCATCCATCCATATACCTATAAAGAGAGTTGAAGTCAAACACACATCAACGTACATGTAATATTATTCCAATGTATATAGAAACTTATATCTGAACCAAGATGTATTCATTTTTTGTTTTATAGTGACGCCCTTTTGGAGGTAAAGTGCCTGAATTTGAGTAAACTGCAAGACATATATTTCATCAAGACAAAGAAATTTTTACTAATTGGACCCAGCAAAATATGTGTGAAACCTGGAAAAGACGACATGCACTGCAAAACAATGAACATAGTCGATATAGGTAAGAAGTTGTATATGGGGATATAATTGTCATTTTTTGGATACCTGAAGGCACTGCATCTGATCATTCTGTATGTAAAAAGTAGACAAATAGTGGAAACAATTGACAATAGAAAACAGCAAATTTTCTAATGCAAATATTTTTAAAATCACAAATGAAAAATGTAGTACAGTAAGGGCCAGGTGCAGTGGCTCAAACCTGTAATCCCAGCACTTTGGGAGACCGAAGTGAGAGGATTGCCTGAGCTCAGGGGTTCAAGACTAGCCTGGGCAACTTGGCGAGACCTTGTCTCTACAATAAATCAAAACATTAGCTAGGCGTGGTAGCGTGTGCCTGTAGTTCTAGCTACTCAGAAGACTGAGGTGAAAGGATTGCCTGAGCCTAGCAGGTCGAGGCTGCAGTGGCCCTGAGCATACCACTGTGCTCCAGCCTGGGTGACAGAGTGAGACTCCAACCCCCTCAAAAAAAAAAACAACTACAGACTGAAGAAAGAGCAAATCTCCATGAAGTATCTAACTAGAGCTGGTTCTCTGGTCATCCACCCAGCTCTGTCCCTTCCTTCCTCACCTGGTCTTCTCCTGGATTCCTTGTAGTCTTCTCTCCAGATCCCCACAAGATTCTGAGTGTTTTTAGCTAACGTATCAAGTTATTTTAAGAAGTAAATATACCTTCTGTATTAGAGTTTTCTAGAGGAAAGAGAGTCAATAGGAGATAGATATAGGTGAGATAGATGAGATATAGATAGATGACAGATAGATAAATAGACAGATAGATAGAGATGAGAGATAACTATATTAAGGCATTGACTTGTGTGATTGTGGGCAATGGCAAGTCTGAAATCCATTGGGCAAGCCAGAAGCCTAGAAATTCAGGTAAGTGTTCAGTCTTAAGTCTGAATTCCTCAGGGCAGGAAACTCAAGCAGATTTACTATGCTGCATTCTTGAGATAGACTTGCTCCTTTTTCAAGGAATCTGTCTTTGCTCTTCAGGCTTCTAATGATTAAATGTTATCCATCACACTATGGAAGGTAAGCTGCTTCACTTGAAGTCTACTCATTTAAATGTTAATCATGTCTTAAAAAATACCTTTAGACAGGTGTCTGACCAAATAACTGGGCACAATAACCTAGCCAAGTTGACATATAAAACTAACTGTCACACCTTCTTAAGATATTTATTATTAAGGAGTGAAGCATGGTCAAATCTGAGTGAGCCTAGAATTCACAGATTATTTTGCCAAAATGAATAATAATAATTATATTTTAAAGAAAATTAAAATTTGGATTAGTAAATTCCATCTGCATGTTGCCTTTGGGTCTACATAATATCCATCTACATAATGATATGAATCAGTACATCCATTTAATTTTCTGGTTATAAGCCAATACTTATTGCCAATTCACCATTTGATGGTCAGCACAGGAAATCAAAACAATCAGAAAGACTGGAAATAGAGAGAAACAAAAAGTAACTTTCATCACTTACAAATGTACGACCACAAGATGAATAAAGTTCTTTTTCAAAACCTCAGAGGCACCCTGACATAGGGGATTATCTAAGCCAATCAGGATATATCAGTGCAATGTGATATTAACCATATATTTATCCAACTTATGGAGATGTACAAGTGGAATAATATATGTAAGAGAAAAATATTCAAAGTGATTGAAGAGAAGCACTTTTGCTGATTTTGAATACTATGGTTCTTTCACTCCCTAATCTTAACCTTTTACCTCCAAAAAGAAAATTAAAAGTGAGAGCAACACTAATTAGAGATAAGAGTGAAAAACCTAGCTCAGATTTGTCTCAGCTTTGTTTCACCAAGATGGTAAAATAAGAAGTAAAAGCAGAAGTCCCATATGTGAAGAATTATTTTGTAAAAAAGAAAATTCAGCGGAAAACAAGACAGTAGGCAGATGGCTGTCCATGTTAACCACACTCACATTGGCCACAGTCAGTATAGGTACCGTCTGGGGTTCGGGAACAGGTAGGGAAGGGGAAGAATGGTAACAACTTGGTATCTCCCAGGAAGTGAGCACTCTGGTTTTTGGTCATTAGGAGACTAGGTTTCTATGGATGGAGTTCAGTGTGTGCGCTACACAGGGGCACCGTATCTAAAGGTTTACCATTTGCAAATGTATGCTCATTTCTCTGAAAAAGAGCAGAGATGGCAGAGATTCTTGGCATTCTGACAAAGTCTTGAAGCATCAGCGGGGAGCCCTTTTTATTTTTTTATTTTTTGAG